AACTGTCTTAAACACCTGTTCTTTCCTCTCGTACACTCGTCGTGGCTTCCTCAAGCAACTGTTCCCCAATCCCCAGAGACGTCTTATATACGATAGAAAGGGTTGAGAACACAGTCTGTTTTACCTGCTACTTATCAGCCCAACTCAAGCTCTTGGTTGGAAAAAACCTCCGGCGAATCTCTTGCCAGGGCAGGCGCCCGTACGGTCCGCCTAGTAAGACAAGAACTGCCCACCTGGGCCACCCTGCTTTCTGAAGAACCCCCAGCAACCTCGCTTCGATACGACAGCCCCCTGGTCCCTCGCTAAAGTGCCCGTTGGGACAATAGGTCTCCAGTCCTACTCCTCCCCTAAGGAATTTTCCCGGTCTGCGAACAGGGAGGTCAATGACGACTTCTATGCTTATACCCAGTTGCACATCAGGATGCCTTTGTTCCGTGTCCTGTTTTCTGTTAATTCGCAGTGCAAACTATCGAATTTCATTCTAGTAATGCTCATGATCCCTGTGACCGAGTCTAAAATTAGCAATAAACAAATGTAGCGATTGTCTAAATACGCGAACGCTTGCTAAGTGGCTTTTGTTGCATTAGCCTTTAGTTTGCTATAAACAAAAATAATAATAATACTGACAAAAAACCAAAAAGGTCAACTTATATGAATTTCCACCCATTCCAGTAAAGAACCCCCCTCTTTCTCGTCGAGCCCCTCCACGCCGATTCCTTAATTTTATGTGTTGGGCGCCCTTCTTCTAGACCGATGAAAGGAGTGTGTCTCGGTGCAGGGGTTGTGTGTGCTTGCGCGTGTACTGGTTACTCCCGTGCGTCTATTTCAACGACGTGTCTACGCCCTTCCCGACTGTCCGGTCCACCCCGGTAGGTCAATGAAAATCCGCCGAAGTCTACTAACCAGCCCACGAAAAATGTCGCGGTGCGCCGAGAAGGTGTCTACTGTAAAGAAAAATACCTAAAATAAGCAGTTTCGGGGTGAAGTCTATAAGTAACGGGATAGCCCTCAATTTCTCGTAAAGGTACCTTATATTGTTTTCGACAATAAGAGCTCGAAGAGTTTGAGTGGATGCGATGGGTGGAAATTTTCAAAGTCCCATTAGTTGACAATTTTTGTATGACAAAAAGTGTAAAAAAGAGGGTTATTTAACCTTACAAAAGTTTACACTTACCTATTAGCAATAAATTACTAGCGACTATAGTTATACCTGGGTTTATTAGCTCTAATACTAAAAACGGTATTTAGCCTCGGGTCGGGATTATCTATGTGATTTACACATGATTTATGGTGGTCTGAGTCGCCTGTCAAAGTAGGGTGTCCTGTATTCTGGACCCGAAATTTGTGGACTTGAAAACTTTCTTTAGGTTAGTTTCAGTTTTCTAAAGGAGCGGATGCGACGAGTTGGATAGGAACCATTGTTGGAACCAAATAATCAGTAATAAAAGGTTAATGTACAATATAACCTGAGAGAACGCGATAAAGAAATCAACTTACATGATGCTATGGTTTTTGAGTTGCCCATGCTATTATAGCGCTATTTTTCAGGTGTAAATTTGCTATAAATAGCGTTATAAAAACCTTTCTTATTTCCTTTTGTTACCACCTTAAAAAAAAAAAGAAAAAAATTCTAATTTATTATGTAGATAAACGTATGTCCATAAAATCATCCACTATCGATCATAAAATTTCACAGGCTTAGTTATAACTTATTAGTCTGGGGAACGGTTATCTTATTTTATTTCCCAAAGTGAAAATCAAAAAGTTCATTGAGTTGAGATTGAGAAGCAGTGAGTCGCAGTAGTTCCAATAGAAAAATCGCTTATACTCGTAAACAGGTGTAAAAGGGTCATCTTTCGACCCTACAAGCCCTCAAATGTTATAAGGGGACGGACAACGCTTTTTTGAGAGAACGAACGCATGACTACAAAACCGACCCTGTCTCTCCCCCCCGCTATACGAAACAGGTACCGCCGACTGTCGTCACGCCAGTTGACGACGTATACAGAGAGGTGGTGAAGTTTTTGTTATGTCCACAACCGGTTCCTTCCACGTCGAATAACTGTCCCGCCTCTCTCATATATTATATGACAATCGAATGAAAAGTTACCAGAGAAATCCATACGGATGTACCATCGGGACATTGATGGTACAGGAAAAACCGACAATAGACAAACAAAGTACAAGTACAACATGGAATGAACGGAACGGTACAACCTGTCCAGAGGGAACCCTTTTCCTCTAAACTCAATAGAGTTACCTTTGGTAGACGCAATTTATTTCCAAATTTTTTTANCTAGTCGAGGGCCGGACTGGTTCAATGTTTATTGCAGAACTTATTGAAATGAACTTATTGCACATATTAAACCTGGAACTAACAAAGCTTAAATTATTGCCTATAAAAACAACATTAAACATTAAATAATCAGTTCATTCATTTCTTATGGCTCTATCTGCAGCTTCTCCAGAGTCATTTCTTATGATTACATTTTCCCACAGGCCAACAACAGCTTCAACAAAACTATTTCCCTCAAAGAACAAACCAAACATGCCCTGTTGTCTCAAGAAGGAAACATCCATTAAACTCAGTGTGCTGCTCTGTGATGCTAGTTCAGATACTTGGCATCTCATCTCGGGTGCAAGTCCATCAATGTTTGGGGTCAGGCTCTGAGCGGAGGAGACCCTCAGGATTGAGTGAAGGTGTGCGTGCAATATACCGGAGGGCCAGATCTAATAGTAATTAGAAATTATCCTGCGGGCCAAAATTAAATCCACCAAGGGCCTGATTTGGCCCCCGGGCCTCGAGTTTGATGTGTTTTAGAGGGTCTTAATTTCCAAGGTGGTTGTGGTTGTTGTCGAGGCCCCTTTAAAAGCCCTTTAACCGTGCAGATAATGATTAGATCTGTCTTTGTACCTCTGAATGACAGTGACAGTTGATTTGTTGTGCACCAGTGTTTCTCTGAGTTATTCATTCATTCGTTTGTTTTACCTCGATCTATTCCTGGCAGTGTCTTTGATCGACTATTTCGACTCTGTTTACTGCAAACACACTCATGCTGCTGTAGAGAAGACGTGATATTCTATTAGAAATACTATTGTTTTACCTTTCCCTTGAGGAGGATGGGAAGGTTTTTAATCTACGTGGTGATGCTATGTGGAAAATAAGGGATTCAATTTATATTTCATATCTTTAGGGATTATCAAGGGACTATATTTTCTTAAAAATGGCACAAATAAACGAGGAGAATTACAATTAAATCAATAAACACACAGAAGAACAGTTGTTATCATGTCTTTGAATTGACCTACAGGTTACATTGTATTACCTTTCAAAATGTGATATTCCAAGTTTGTGCAGCACCAGCTATTTTTGCACGTAAGAATAGACAACTTTTTTGAACGAGCTTAATAAAATACTTTTTGACAAATTCCCTGCTATTAAGGGCTTTGTAAATAAATCAAAAACAAAGCCTGCCACGCATTACTGTACAGATTTCCACCCGACCTTGTAATACAAGATGCAAAGATGGGTAATAAACCCGTCAGTACCGGATCATCAATGTTATTACAATTCACCCTGAGGGAAACATGAATGTGCGTTCCATAGTTCATATTCAATGATTGTCGAGACGCTTCCAAATGCCAACATTATGGTGGCATTAAATTCAGGCTTATCATGTTTTGTGTTTGACAAAATGACAACATAACGCATTTATTAGCAATGTTGGTTGTTCTGGTTGTGGACTTCCTTTGACTGTCAGATGATAAGAGTTAGAACGTGGAATGGACTTCACCCAGACCTTTCAAGTATTACTAGTCATCAACAATTCAAAAATAAAGTAAAAACAATTATATTTGCAGATTACTCCAGCTAACAGGTATTGGATATTCCCAGTATTGCTTATTGCTTTTTTCTTGCCCTAACTTTTGTTTTATTTATTGTTTTTTTTCCAGTTTTCATTGGTTTTCTTTGTACTCCTTAATTTCTATATGTTTTTGACGAAATAAATGCCATTATTATATTGATGCTAATGATGATGCACGGGAGGGCTACTCCCCATAAGCTATGCTTCAGCCCTCCCGCTTCTACTCATTTTGTTCATTTGTGTGTATGAATTATACGTTTTTGTTTTTGTATGATTTTAGTAGAATAAATAAAAAAATAAACACTTCATGAGCAGCCTGGCACTTTAAAAATAACATGTTGGGATTTTATATCAATCCGACCTCCAGCCGGCGCTGAATCCTAATGAGATATCAGAGTGACTCTCTATCCAACTCTTCACACGCTTTCAGTAGCTTTCTACCGAAACATACGGATTGGAAATTACACTGTAATGGCCCCCAGTTCTCCTACAATGTGACGGGGGGGGGGAATGGCTAAGAATAGTGGGAGTAACGAGCCGTAGATTAAATCCATAAAGAAACGTATGCTGGGAGATTTATGAGAAATTATGCATCGCACTTACACCCAAGCACAGGCACTATAGTGTTTGTGTTCCAGGTCATGGAGAAGTAATGACAGAAATGCTCCGTCATAACACATCGGGGCGAGGAATATTGCTTCCCTGACTTATGAAGCATCGGAGGCACTCCTACATGCATTTGGAAAGCTATTATTCCCCCAGTTGTGCTGAATCATCCTATGAATTATGTAGGTAGGTGGAATGCGACGTGCAGATATGATCAATCAAAATGTGCTGACATCTTTATCACCGTCTTAAATATTGTGTCACATCGTATCGATGTGACACAATATGTGCGAGCGAGCGAGAGGAGAAGAACAGGATTCTTGTTACCATGGCAATAAATCCAGCCCATGCTGTCGGGTGTTGTCATGGAAACAGAAACAAAAACACAAGGTGTCCCTGTGTGCTCCAACGAATTAAATAAGTTTAGAAGCATTATTTTCAAATTAATGGAACTGAATGTGCTTTGTTTTTTAAATTTGATGAAAAAAACAAAATGACAATTAAAGTATCGTGTTTTTTTTTAACGGGAAATATTTTAACTCAATGATATTTGTTCGCTCTTTCCCCTCAGGTGCCTACCCTCGACTGTCTCTGAGCTTCAAGCTGAAGAGGAACATCGGATACTTCATCCTGCAGACGTACATGCCATCGATCCTGATTACCATCCTCTCCTGGGTCTCCTTCTGGATAAACTACGACGCTTCGGCAGCCAGAGTGGCTCTAGGTGAGAAACATCTGGATCTCTCAGAAGACATTGGGGACGATAGTTAGCCACAAACATCCCCGATTGAACCTTTCATTGTGTTGTGGAGCAACAGAGAGCTTTGGGAAATGGCTTGGAAAACGTTGGGACCAAATAAAGTTTTCAAATATATAGAGATTTTAGCCAAGGCAGCACAATTATTTTTTCGAAGATGCAACTTGGACTGGTGCAATTTCAAAATCCCAGTAAGCAATATTTTGTAAAAGCTAAAAAAGTGTTGTGATAATGCAGAGAAGTAACGGCCCACAAACATATTCTACAGACTAAATAAATATCCTTGTATGGTACAGATCTTCAACAAAAAATCCCACTAAGATCGTTTACATATATTTTTCAATGACACTGTAGATAATGTTCCAAAAAAGGTCATTCCCAAAAGCAATATCCTCCAAAATAATTTGGAGTTATATTTTCCACATCCTGCAGCTCTAAAATTCTGCAACAGCCATGTAAACATAGTTTTGTCCATTGTGGCTTTCCGTAGGGCACAAGCTGAATTTAGTCTGAGACCGAACTGGGTCATAGTGTATACTTTGTCTCTTGCTGTTGCTGTGGTCACTGAAAGGCCTCCAGGAGCTATAATTACATCTAATGAGCATAATTTCACTTCTGAGTGAGGAGTGCATGTGTGGGTGCAGAGGCCCACGCTCTGTGAGCAGTAAACAAGGCCGAGAGGGAAACAGCAGGTCGTGAAATCATTGTGATTCCTCTCAGGGGGTCCAAGTTCAATATTAAAGCTGACGGATGAAACATGAGGAATCAGGCGGGGGAAATATGTAACATGAACGCTGTCAAGACAATCTTTAACGATGCAATTTTGACTTCACAGCAGTCGTAATTTGACAGCTTTAAATGGCCATTTGACTGTTCACTAAACGCCTCACCTGAACAGCAACGGTCCAATCACAGCTTAGCAACCGTAACTAGGATTTCACCACCTACTGCTTCGTCTTTTCCAGAAGCAAAAACACAAGAACAAAAGTCTAAAGAATGGATTCAACTCTAATGTAGGCTTACTACCCACAGTCAAAACAGAGTGCTACTGCCAAAGCAAAAGTGACATTACAGAAAAGCCACTTTTATGATCCAGTATACTCATTGCTAAGCCCACACACACACACACACACACACACACACACACACACACACACACACACACACACACACACACACACACACACACACACACACACACACACTATTTTAAACGGATCATTACAGGACATAGGGTATAATCATCTCATAAACCACACACACACACACACGGACAACACACACACACACACACGACAAACACACACAACACACACACACACCACACACCACACACACAAGACACCACACACACACACACACACACACACACACACACAACACAACACACCACACACACACAAGCAGTCGCAACACTCACTAACACACACACACTACTCAAACGGACTGGTTCTGTACCCGAGGCACAGAGACCGAGGGATAACCCTACCACCGTTAGAAAGCAAAAAAAACGAATTGCGTCGTGACATAGAAATAATCACAAGAGAGTCGACGCGGTAATGAGAGGCAGGAAGTGAGGGAGGGCAGGAGTGTGGGTGGGAAGGAAGGAGTAAGGAGTGAGGGAGTGAGACGTGGGAGCCAGCCTGTTAAATTAGTTCCTCCGAGGTCCGGAGGGGGAAAAAGTTAGTCGACATAAAGACCCCTCTTTTATATCCCCATAATATCCCAGGGAGAGTGAGACCAGAGGGAGAGTAAGAGAGCCGGGTGAGAACACAGATAAGGGTACAATAGGTGATAGAGAGAGAGACGGAGTAGAGTGGGGAGAGGGAGAAGTAAATAGAATTTTCTCTAGAAGAGGTAAGTAAATCGGGCCAAAGGGAAAAGTCAGGGGAAGGGGGGGCAAAGAGCAAAACAACAGGAGCAACAGTGGAATGTCGACTGTTACCGTGTACCATTAAGTTACACAGATTAGTGCTCGATATCCGTATCCGTTGTGTCGAGTCGTAATATTCTTCCTTTTTGAAGCAACCAACATCCTACGTCCATTCGCGAACGTTTTGCCGTTACTTACAACCTCGCCGCTCCTATCTCCGTACCCACCATTAATTCAAAGGTAAGTAGTGACGTCTTGCGTGATTAACAGTCGAGACTCAAATCGTAAGCGTTACGAAGTGTTGAACATAACCCTCAGACGCCTACCTCCTTTTGCGGTGGTTGTGTGTCACTAGAACACAGATGGATGTGAATTTCACGAGCCGTGGTTAATGTCGATTACGGGTGTGGAAACCGAAACCTACCATACACTAACACTCGCTCCCGCAGTCACCACCCACCTTTACCCAACGTTGTCGTAATCCGACGCTCCCCAGTAAAACTTGAAACGGTTAGGAAGTTTTAACGAAGTCCTTTTACCTCTAAAGGGAAGTTGTTAACATTAACAAACGGACGACTGAGGACTTCCTAAAGAGGGACTAGAATGTGACGAGAATGACCGTCCAAACGTGTTGTGTGTACGTAAGGGCGTGTGTGGTTTGTGTGTGTTGTGGTGTGTGTGTGTGTGTGGGTGTGGTGTGTGTGTGTGTGTGTGTGTGTGTGTGTGTGTGTGTGTGTGTGTGTGTGTGTGTGGTGTGTGTGTGGTGTGGTGTGTGTATGGAGAGAGAAGGTGGCAGTTACGTGACGACTTCCGAACATTACTAGGTAAGTCCTCCTTCACTTACCTGAGGCCAACGGGGAGTCGCCTCCTGCGTGTGGTGTGGCCTATACCGTCGGTCGTCCTAAAGTGTGTGGTGTGTGTGGTGTTTGTGTGTGTGTGTGTGTGTGTGTGTGTGTGTGTGTGTGTGTTGTGTGTGTGTGTGTGTGTGTTGTGTGTGTGGTGTGTGTGTGTGTGTGTGTGTGGTGGTGTGTGGGTGTGTGTGTGTGTGTGTTGTGTGTGTGGTGTGTTGTGTGTGTGTGTGGTCCTCTAAGGAGGTTCCATTACTGACCATAACGTACGCAACGTCACGTTATTGTCACCCTATAGTTTGAACTTTTAAGGTCAGGAATTTTCGACCTATGTTGCATTACCTAGTTTCGGACAAAATGTTTCGTAACCACACAAATATTCCGTAATGTCAAGGTAATAGGTTCGGTATATGTCTACTAAATCCCGGTCTCGTCGTTAGTAACCGTCCTAACTTGACAATCCTCCAGGGAGTCCGACGACCCAGGATACGGGGGGTTCAGATTTCGTACAGGTGTGCATCTGTGCCGTCCAAGTAAACTTATAATGGTGGTTTGGTTGACTGGTTGTGCCCCCCCTGAAAACTCAAAGGGACCAACATAAGTTCAGTAATAACGAAACGACGAGTTTACAAGTTAATGAGTACCGGCAAAAATGACCGAACCGGTAAACGTACGCTCAACTTGTGCTGATTTTTCATCCTCTACATCAAGGCTTAAGAGCAAAACATTAGGATTTTAGTAGTGTAAAACCAATCGACCAATTGCTTCTCCCGTCCCCATGTTGGAATCTACTAATATGGGATACAGGACATTACTAGGCAATTTACACACAACACACACACACCAACACACACACCAACACACACCACACACACACAC